AAACACACAGTCAGTGCTGATTTATTGTTTGTTTGTGTGAGATTCCTTCCATACTCTACATTGTTGGCAGCAGGGATACTGTGTTGCTGTCCATCCAATGTCACATGAGGCTGCATGTGCGAATGAGTATGCAGCAAAATAGGGCGTTCATTTTTAAGGGTTCTGTTCAGGGCCAGACAAGCAGAGCTTGTTGGCCAACACGTGCCAGATAGAGCTTGTCCTTGTTAGCCAACACGTGCCAGATAGAGCTTGTCCTTGTTGGCCAACACATGACTTAGGGCTCCAGACCACTTGCCTCTCTGACTGATGGAGAGTGGAACATGACATACCTATAGGGTTGCCACCCATCCGGGTTTAACCTGAATAGTCCTGTTTTGGAGTCTTGTGTCCAGTTGTACAGCCAGCAGACACCCGGACACAAGACACAAAGTGCTGACACTGGCACTTTCAATTTTCTGACATATGCGGCTGTCTGAACACCCCAGCAAGTGCAATCTCGGGCAGCCACATCTGCCTGGAACTGGATCTTCCTCTGAGCTGGGAGCGTCTGTAAACAGGCACAGGCTGCCCGCACATCGTCTTCTCTACCTCCTTCGGCTTCCTGACACTGCGCTTCCCACCTCTGGACCCCTGGTGAGACATCACAGCCCAGACACCCCACCCGAGAGTCGCATAGCCCACCTGAGAGCTGCATAGCCCATCAGAGAGTTGTACAGCCCACTTGAGGGTCACATAGCCTACCTGAGAGTTGCATAGCCCACCCGAGAGTCAGAGCAACCTATGACCCTGGAGACATCTGGGTGCCAACCCGGAACAACACAGAGTATTTAGCTTCATACTATTTTGTACTGCTGTATAATATATTGCTGGGATTTGTAGTACTCTAAAGAGAGTCTCCTTACTCCCTCCCCTGGCTGTCTCTTCTTGCTGTTTCTCCTGGCTGCCCCTCCTCTATATTCTCCCCCCCAAAAAATGTGCCACCCGCAGCGCTAGAATGTTCAGGTTTTCACTTGAAGAAAAGGTGGCAACCCTACATACCTAACCTATGAAGCTGGTACTCCCAAAACCTGACAACATGACAGCTCTTTCCTCAATGCAACTCCAATGGAAAACATGAAATCTGGGTGATCGTTCTTTGAAACCAGTGTTCTAGGTCAACCACATATGCTGCAAGGTCCACTGCTTTGCATAGACTAGGGGTTGCCAAAATTCATCCCCTATACAAATTCGATCTGCCTCTGGGAGTCATGTCTGTGGCTGTCAGAGTCTTGCAATGCCTCACGGGACTTGTAGTTCCACAACAGCTGGAGTGCCGAGGTTGCCCACCCCTGATCTAAAACCTCCCCTGCTATCCAAAACTAGAAAATGAAGGAACTAGGAATGGCAGAGTTCCGCCAAAACTCTTTACATTGAGTGTATTGCTAGGAAACCAATCTAGCGGCAATGTCTCTTTTTCCACACCACAGCGCGTTCGTGATCCGGGGTTCGGGGTGTGAACAAACTCATTACGAATAATGAAATGTAAATGAAATTGGGGTCTTAATCAGTAAGCAATGCACAGAAGAGCCATTATAATTGTAATAGTGTGAACACATCCTGATTCCTCTTCCCCAACTTTGCTGATGTGTACAGAAATGACTATCTGCCCCTAACCTCCCCCCCACCCCCCCTCCAATCTCATCTAGAATCTATATACAGACTTACACTCCTTAAATTAATGTTTGTTTCTCAACATCTGAATTGATGGCGTCTCCTTCCCCGCTGGGTTAATAATTGCACTTTTCAAGGAAGGTAACCAGCTGCGATGGCGGTTTATTAATTATTATTATTTTTAAGGGGAAAAAGAACACATTTTAAAGAGAATTCTTGTCTAATGGAAAAATGGAATATCACTGTAAAAGAAACTCGTCGCCACTGGGCTCACGCAGGAATCTGAATGTTATTATTAATGATTATAATTAAAACTAAACTCCGGGATAAGCGAATATTGTCTAAATATAAGGTTCATGTGTGTTCTTCTTCAATCCTGGTGAGCTTTGTGTATTTCTTCCAATGTAACACTGTAATAAAGACCGCTCACTGCTGCTCTCTCCTTGTGCGGGGAGACTGGTCTTGTCTCTGCCCCCCCCCCCCTGTAGGGGGGGGGGCTTGCCGTGCCCCTCCCACAGCTCTGCTCTCTTCACAGGCTATGCACAGCACAGTGATGATGTCACCGCTACTTTTGCAACGTAATAACAGGACTTGCAATGGCATTTGGCGCACATTAAGTGAATTCTTCTCCTTTGTGGATGTTGAGGAGAGTATTTAAATGAACGTTTTTGTGCCTGTGGTTCGGCTTGACGCAATTTTGAAAATGAAAGGTGGTTGTTTGTCCCGTTTAGCTTGCCATGGTGTGAGATTTAAGTGCCAGATGTCTACATTCTTCTTAAAGAGGAAGTAAACCTTAAAATGAAAAGATTCCAGCAGGTAGTGTCTGAAAGGGAATTATCGGGGCTGATTTATAAATGTCGCCACTAGATGGAGCCGAGGAGCACATGAATTTATTATGCTCCTTGGCACCATCTTTCGGAGGTAATGATTTGCAAACATTACATAGATACCATTGCTTGCCCTAAAAATGAACTTCTATTTGTTCCCATTTGATCTGCTAAATAGATAATTAAAAGAGTTCTATTATATCTCATTAATGCAAAAAATACCTGTATATCCTGCCTTAAATCCAGCACTGCGTTGTGCAATCTGCAGTGTTATCCCAAACAGTACAATTAGCCCTGCCCTGTTCTTCTGTGTGCAACTAATCCTTTTGTATGGTATTGTATTTTAATTGTACTGCCTCCCCATATGCTGTGCTGCGCATACTGTCGGCGCTATATAAATCCTGTATTATAATAATCTCAACACACTTGACTGACTAGTCACCCTGCAGAAGGAGAGAGAGAGTAGCAGGCACTAGATGGCGCCGGTGAGTATAAAAATTCCTATACTCGCCAGCGCCATCTAGGGGCGCCAGTGCGAATGGCATCCACTTGGCTATATGCTGGCTATAGATGAGCAAAACTTTTATAAATGATCCCGGAAGATTCAAGCAAGAGCTTCATTTATAAAACTTGCATGGCACTAGTGCCCCTAGATAGCACTGTGGAGTATAGGAATATTGTTTTATAAATTAACCCTGCCAGTGTTTAAGGAAGAATACATGTGCCTCTTGTATTTAGACAATAATTCCTCAGCTTTAGTTCAATGGAACAGTTTTTGTTCACAGCAAGCAAGCAGTAGATTCTTTACTCAAAGTAACAATGTGATTTGGTAATGCTGATACTGTGTATGCCCTGCTGATTCATTCTAATGACAGGTCCTCTTTAACATGCACAGCCCATGGCTGTCTGACAAGAAGCGATACTGATTACTGATTACAATAGCTTTTACATATTCATTTCATGTGATTGCTGTATCCTGTCTATTATAATATAGATTATTATATGGATAATAGAGATTAATGAGACAACACAAGTGCAGTCACGATGTACAAAGAGAAGTCTCACGTGGATTCACCTTGCATCAGTGTAAAGTTTTATGTAAAGGTAAAACTTTAAGCTTTAGTGTACGGGTGGGTTAGATCCTGTGTCAAGTTTTATTTCTGCCCTGTGGGGGGATTCACCCTCCCACTTTATCTCTGGTGACCGTTGTCTCTGGTACAGAGAGGAAATGATGATTTTAGAACCAGAGATTGGGGTAAATGTTCCAATGGGGATCGCTGTTCCAATCTCCACTCAGGTATGGGGTGCACCAGGTTTTTTGTTGTTTTATTCCACTAGGGTGAGTTTCTTTATTCCCAGGACATGATATCATTTGATTTGTATATCTATGATGTCATTTCATGTTCTATCTCATGCTGATGTGATTTGTTCCACTAATTGTAGGTTTTTATTTTGCTGATTTTGAGATTTATTTTGCTGACTTCCAGCCCTGATGAAACGTCTGCACACACACCCCTGAAATGTGTTGGCTTCGTCATGAACGTCATGTTTACCATTAGGAAATCTTTTTTAATGACTGTTTACCTACAAGTGCCATCCATCTCTTTTTGAATCCTTCTCTACTTAAAGCAGAACTCAAAAGTGTTCTTAACCCTTGCAGTGGGGCTACCCCCACACTTCATGGGTTAAGTGCTCATTTTTGTCTAGGTTCAAAAATTAAAAAAGTTATACTCACCCGATCCTCTGAAAAGTCATGGACCGAGAGCCCAAAAGTGTCAGGAGTGAGAGGAGGGGACCCGGTAGCATACCTTATTCCGCCGGGCTAACGTCCCCCTCCTCTCTCTGCCAGCGTCCATCACCAAGATGGCCACCGTCAGTTATCACCAAGATGACCACACATGCACGATGACGTCACGGCAGGGTATCACCTGGTATCCGCTTCGCATGACACCCGGCCTTGGGATGCCCATGAGTCGAGCCCACCTTAGAGCACCTATAGTTTTTCCAAAACAATACAGACTAATGATTTTAGGACAGTGGTGGAGCGCCAGGGCCCGGTCCTAGCTGCAACCGCTGTGACCCCGGTAGTTCTGCCACTGACTCCAAGCTGTAGAGGGACTATACAGTTACATCATACAGCAATGCAGAATGGCATTGACTATAGAGCACTACAAATCCCAGCAATACGTAATATAGCAATGCAGAATAATACCGTCAGCTATGGAGGAATACAAATCTCTGAAGTCAGATAACATGGTACCATGGCTGGGATGAGAAGGAATGCTCTGCAGTCATATAACATATATTTAGTTATAGTTATATATATAT